TAAAAAAAACATTTGTTTTTCTCTTCATTTTATCGCATTCGCTCAGATTGTTTACAATTTGTACTGGCTTAGAGTTCAATAATGGCAGATAAATTGAAAAGGTACAAGGCTTGGCGGACTAGCGCACTTAACGAAATTTATTCCTTGCAGGGAATCGCAAATTCGGCAAAGACTAATAAATCTCAACATACTTTGTTCAAAATTAGATATGCTGAGTTAGAAACTCTCAGAGATGAATTCATGAAACACCATAATAATATTTTGGTTAGTTTATCTAGCGATCCAAACTTTGATCTGGATCAGGAAAATACTTCAAAGGAAACATTTTTTGAATCATATTATGATATTCACACAATATACGCAGATTTATTCGAAAATAGTTTACAATTGAATCAGACTGTTGAAAATACGAATTCATTTTCCGATAATTCGCGCAGAAGGTTACCTAAAATGGAACTTAGGACATTTTCTGGTGATTACAAGGAATTTCCATTGTTTATTGATCTTTTCAATAATATAGTTCATAATAACGGATCACTGAACGATTCCGAAAAAATCAATTATTTAGTATCAAGTTTAGACGGACCTCCTTTAGCATTAGTAAAGATGCATCCTTTAGAAGGACCCAGTTATGCAACTGCATAACTGAAATATACTAATGAAAGATTCAGAGCTACGGCTCACTGGAATGAGTTAGAAAATTGTCCAGAAGTTGATTGTGAAAATCCAATTTCGTTTCGACATCTGTTGGATGTTTTTTCAGAAAATTTATCCGAGTGTAGGAAGATGGGTCTTCCTATTGATGAGTGGAGTTTTATTTTGGTTCAAATGTTGATTGAGCGTATTGATCCAGACATGATGAGAGATTTTGAGCGAATTCATTGTTCTACCGCTATTCTAAAATACATGGATTTATATAGTTTTTTGGATAAACAATGTACCGCCATCGAAGATTCAGCTTTTTCATTCACTTCAAAATCAAAGAAAAGTTCAGATACCAGTAATAAGTCAAGTATGAATTTCCGCTCTGAAGGTAAAGGTACTTTTTCAAAAAATTCTGAATTTTTTACTAAAACTGAAAAACACATTTTAAATAATCAGTGTCCACTTTGCCAGAGCAAACATTTACTATATACCTGTCTTAACTTTCTTGAGAAAACCTATAATCTTTGTAAATCGTTACATCGATGTTTTAATTGTCTGAGCAATATGCATGATATTCGGACCTGCAAGTCAAATGTCTGTTGTCGGTGGTGTAGTAAAAGACATCATTCCTTGTTATGTTTGATGGAAAAATCAACTTCATCAACGCCTCAAACCCAAACATCTACATCTAATTCTACTGTTTGCAACACGCCTGCTGCTCAAGAAGTTGCTACTGTCAAATGTGGGTGTGGATTCACGAAACGCAATTCAATGGTAATGTTATCAACAACACGCGTTGAAATTTTGGGTAATCGAGGAAATTATCACAATTTTCGTGCTTTGTTAGACCCAGGCAGTCAAAGTACATTCATTATTCAAAAAGTTTTCAACAATTTAGGCTTACCAAAATATCATTTGTCTTTGGCTGTGCAAGGATTAGGTGAAACTGAAACCGTTACTAGTTCAGGTGGGGGGTAACATTGTGTATCAAACCATATAGAAAAACTTCACCTGTATTTACAACTGATGCTGTAATTTTACCAAAAATATGTGAAAAACTTCCCCTCCACCAATATTTCTATTAGAGAATGGCCACATATCTCCAATATTGAGTTGGCAGATCCTAACTTTAACTGTCCAGGTCAAATTGATCTCCTTTTAGGCGCAGATATATTTAAAAAAAATTGTTAGGAAATCATTAGAAGGATGGAAATGGGGAACCGTATGCTTTGGAAACAGTATTTGGTTATGTTGTAGTGGGCCAGTTTAACTGTGACGCTTCGCTTTCACTAAATTCATTTTTTTGTAAAATAGATTATATATCTCTAGAAAACAATATTAAAAAATACTGGGAGCTCAATTCTGTTCCTGACGTAACCTGTTTATCACTAGAAGATAAGATGGCTGAAGATTTATATAGAATATCAACAACAAGGGATGAGTCTGGGCGCTTCATTGTTTCATTACCTTTTCGAGACTCACCCCCTGTATTTTCCCGAAGTAGATGTCTTGCAATCAGGAGTTTTTTAGCCCTTGAAAAACGTTTACAAAAGCAACCACATATATATAAAGATTATTGTTCATTTATGCGAGAATACTTAGACCTTAATCACATGGAATTAATTTCGGAAAACAAAGTACCAATGAAAAGTTATCATATGCGTAATTAAACCTCAAAGTTCAACAATAAAGTTGAGAGTAGTGTTCAATGCGTCTGCCCGTGATCCAAATGAATTACCACTCAATGGTTATTTATTAACTGGTCCCAAATTACAACGTGATATTGTCACGATCCTGTTAAATTTAAGAATACATAAATATACCTTATGTGCAGACGTGCAAAAAATGTACAGGATGATTTTAATCACTCCCGATCATCAAGATTATCAACGCATTATATGGCATTTCTCGCCATCTGAACCTCTTCAAGATTAAAGACTTCGCACCCTTACTTATGGAATTTTAGCCTCGACATATCTGTCACTGAAAACTATTCAGCAGTTGATGGCTGAAGATGGTGCCAATTTTCCGCTCGCATCTGCTTCTTTGTTGTCCGACTGTTATATTGATGACATCGTAACAGGTCATGCGACGTTTGAAGGTGCTTTACGTCTTCAAAAAGAGTTGATAACTCTATTGAAGAAAGGAGGCTTCGATCTACGTAAGTGGTCGAGCAATGAGCCCTCCCTACTGTCTCATTTACTCAAATCATATTTAGACACATCTCCAATTTCTTTTGATCAATGCCAAGAAAGCTTCCATAAAATTTTAAGATTATTTTGGAA